GACTCAATATATAGCACTTTATTCCATGTGATTTCTCTATGTACCCTTAACTACCTGGATACACAGGAAAGTAAGTGTAAAAAGTAGTTCACAGGTCTAGCTCAGCACCTCTCACAAGTTCCTATAGCTGAAAGAGTTCTGAGCATCATTACATTCAGAAAAATACATTAGGAGGTTACAGTATTATTAGAAGCATAAGCAGAGAATAAAAAAAAATGAAGTAAATTTCTACTTAGGAAAAACTGTTTTAAAGGAGAAAAAAAGCCACGCATACTTACTGCCTGAAGTTCACTACTGGTGCAGTCTATAAACAAAGTCTGTTCCCTAGATGTAACCAAAATCTACAGTGTGTGGTGGAAATCGTTGAATTTAATTTATGATATTTTGTATCATCGCAAGCACTGAGAACAAGACCATTCCTATTAGGTGCATCTACACATGCAATTAATGCACAGCAATAAACACTAGTGTACAACATGCCAGAGTTTATTTCTCCTGGGCACTATGTTAAAATATGTGCCCAGTGCTGTAGCACATGGAGCTGGGTCAGAGTAGAACCAACTGGCAGGGAGCCCAGGGGGTCAGCCTGCCAACCGGGGCTGGTCCAACCCATCTCAACATGCTTCAGAAGGGCTGTCTTGGGCACAAGGGTGCTAGCCAGCAGGCAGCACCCACACTGAAGCACCCTTATGCTCAAAACAGTCCTGTCAGTGTCTACACATGTGTTGCTGCACACTAAAGAATACTGCCATAGGTTAGTACTTATGTTTACAAGTACTAACCTATAGTGGGGTTAATAAGCTTACTCTTTCCTAATAGCACTGCATATCTAGATGCTGGGATGTTTACTGTGGAGCTAATTAGGTGAGTCTGCAATACACATCTTGGGTAAAAGCGCCCATACTTTAGCTGCATATATGGGGGGGGGCGAAGCTATTAAAACAATTGTTTACTGAAGTTTTAATGACTGAATATGTATCAAAGCACACAACATCCCCAGGAATCAGGTAGATAATATATGTAAATAGCCAGATAAGAAGCCATACTTAAACCTTGCCAGACAAGATATTTTTTGTCTTTAGTTTCCTTGGGCATAGGGAAACCTTTTAGGGCTCAGCTAGTAGGCTGAGTAGAAGTTACGTTTTTGGGCCTAAGATGAAGAGTAAGGTCAGATTGTGGTTATGATATTTTCTGTTGTTTGTTTGTTCTTATATCTCTTCCTGTATCTAAAATATGGTTAGTGATTTCTTACATCCCTTGTTGCATCTTTGTTATCTTTTATCACATACTTATTGCCAATTATAACTATGATTTCAGAGTATTGGATTGTACAAGCAGGGGGGATCTAAAATTTCTGAGCTCATAATTGGACAAGGGTCTTCTAGCTAGCAAAATCCCTTCAAGAACTAGGTGAGACAGGAGGTGACCTTTAGAGCATCTCAGTCTGTTCTCGGGTGTAAATAGTTGTCTAAGAGTCAGAGGGGTGTGGGACTGGAAGTGTGAAAGGTCCTCCAACTGTGTGTCTTAAGGACGCTTGACCACATCAGGGGTCAGCGTGTCACGGGGTTTATGAAGAAGCAGAGGATATGAGAAAGTCATAATGTCCTAGGATGGGGCTTTCTAACTTTTGACACTCTCTCACAACATTCTCATTAATGAGCTAAGTAACTACTACTAGACGAAAGTAAGGTAAGGCATACATAACTGATTGATTCATCTTGCTTAATGAGTAGTCATAAATGGCCTAATGTCAAGCTGGGAGGAAGTATCAAGTAGGATCCCCCAGGGGTCTGTCCTGGTATTGTTTAATATCATCAGTAGTCTGCACTACTGGCTAATAGGGTCTGGAAGTAGGCTGAACACATCAAGCTGCAGAATAGGAGACTGCAGGCTTGCAGAAACTATAGCCTAGCTGTGAGCAGTGAAGCCTGATTACATCTCTTCCAGGTGGACTGGGCCAGCTGATGTGAATAATTGGATATTCAAAGGAAGATAAAGACACCCACAGAGAGAGAGAGGAAGAAGAGGAGAGGGAAGACTGCAGATGATGGAGAGAGATAGGAAAGGTGCTCAGTTAGCAGCTGCAACACCAGACTAGGGCACTCTCACAGGGTCTAAAAGAAGATTCAGGGACTGCAAGACCAGAAGCAGCAACACCACATCAGGAAACTGAGTCAGAGACAGACTGAGAAGGAAGACTGCAATGTGGAGAAAGCAAAAGGGAGGCAACTTCTCAGGAGCTGGAGAAGACTCAGGACTTTGAATGCTACCTGTACTAGCTACCCGAAGTCTGAGGTGTTGAGTTCTGATTTATGTCTGTGATGGTCCATGAAAGGCTGTGATGGTCCATGAGGAAATAAAGAGCTGAATGAAGTTTATGGACTGCTTGAACTAATCAAGTCCCCAACCCACTATGTGATGATTTTGATGATGGAACTGAGGGTACCATTAGCAAAATTGTGGACCACGCCAAGTTGGATGGAGTGGCAGATACCCCAGAGGATAGAGCTAGCATCCAGAATGACTTGAATAGAGAAATGGTCTGCAATCAACCAACTGGGAATCAACACGTGCAAGTGCAAATTCCTGCATTTAGGACAGAAAAATTATATTCATAAATACAGACTGGTGAATGGGTGGTTATACTGCAGTACTACAGAGGAGGACCAGTGGACACTAACTGAATATGAGCCAAGAGTGTGTTCTTCTCGCACAAATAAAAGCCAACAATATACTGGGTTCTATTATCAGATGTGTCGCTTGCAAACCAGGGGAAGTAATTCTCTACTGGGCAACAGTGAAGCCTCACTTAGAGTCCTTTGTCCAGTTTTGGGTCTCACACTTCAGGAAAGGAGTAGACAATTTGGAAAGAGTCTTGTGTAGAGCAACAAAAATGATTAGGAGCCTGGAAGGAAAGAGTTGTGAAGAAAACCTGAAAGAGCTGGGAACTTTAATCTGGTGAAAAGAAGACTGAAGGTGGATTTCATAAGTCTTCAGATACATGAAGAGCAATCATAGGATGGAAATGGACTTCTCTCTGTGGCCACAGGGTACAGGACTAGGAACAATGGTGTCAGACTACAGCAGAAGGAGTTCTAGGAGGAGTTTGGAGATTAGGAGATTTGGAGATTACTTTCTGACTATGTGTGTGGTCAGACATTGGAACAGGCAACGTAGAGAAACTGTGGAAGTTTTCAAGAGTAGGTTAGATGCTGAGGTGGGATGGTTTAGTCAGCGATAAACCTGCCTTGAGTAGGGGCCTGGGCTACATGACCTTGTGGGGTCTGTTCCAGCCTGACTTTCCTATGATAGTGCTGGAACACTTGAGGATTATACAGAATGGAAAGAAGTTTTATTCACCACTGCCCCGTAAAAAGCCAGCATTAATCATCAGTTACAACAAAATGGCACCAGAAAAATCACAGCCTTCCTCCACTCTTAGACATGTAAATAGTGTTGCATTTGTTGCTAAAATATGAACCTTTTAAATTCCATCAGAGTCTCTGATCAGACACTGATGCAGAAGAAGGCAGAATTGTGTAAGAGAGCATTCTGGCAAAGTTCAATAAAAGCTTAGTGAACATGTCAAGACATTTATTTTCCCAAACACTTTTTGCCCCACTCTTTTGCAAAACACGTTTCTGTTTTAAATTTTGGTCATAATCATAAATCTTTATGTGTGTCGGGCCAACAAAATAAATGGTCATAATATCCGGGTCATTTTCATACAAGGTTTTTTTTATGCTTAATGAAAAGCATTAGCTTGTCTGGTCAACCACTTTTATGTCCTCATTTACTTAGTATTATCAGTGACTTTTTTATCCTGGAATTGCCATATAAAGTTATTAATTCTCTGCAAGTCTGTCTTTATCATTGCCATTGTAAAAGGCAAACACATTACCACTTTATTACTTCATTCTTAATGATACACTTGTTAAAGTTTTCTATTATTGTGGCATTAACACTGGTTTCTACAAGTTATCCATCCTAGTTTGCATTGGTTCAGTTTACTACCATTACTGAAATGTGAAAGCTGTTTACTACCATTACTGAAATGTAAAAGGATTTTATAATACACAAATGTATATAAATCACCATTCTGCTATTTAGAGCACTATATCAAAAATGTCTAAAAAAGTAATTGCCAAAATTTGAATAGCCTACATCAAATAAACTAAGAATAAACTCATCTATCATGTTACAAAAGACCTGGCATCCACCTGAGGGGGTATTAGCTTCTCTGTTCACCCAGTTCAAGGTGGAAGCACTGCCATTTCCTTCTCAAATCCTTGTGGGTTATTATATTTACTCACATATCACATGCACCCTTTTCCCCAAAAAACAAGCCTACAAAATTGGGGTATCTGTTTTAAACTGACTTTCTTTTCTGGAAAAGAAGCATGGAGACGCTGTACTTTTCTCTAGGCCAGCGTGGAAGTAATGGTGGAATCCATCTTTAACCCTGTCATAGTCACTGATGAGTTGATATCAGTTTTGGCTGAACAGCTGAAACTTTTTCCTGAGGCAGCCCATTAACTCACTGACAGTGAGTTACTGCATGCTGTACTCTCTCTGCTGTGACTCTAGAAAAAAATATCTACATTCTTCCATCCAAAAATAAGCTGCATGTTGTTCTTGAGGGTTTGTGGTGTATGAAGAAATATAATACTTTTTTTGCATTGTTTGTTCCCTTGGGTACTTACAACTTGATTGCCATTGTATGCTTCTGTATCTTTTCTTGAATTAAAGTTTGACTGACGGGCCTGTAAATCTCCAACTTGTCCTTTTTTCCTTCTATTAAAGATGGGCACCTTATTCATCCTTTTGTAGTCTTTTGTGATCTCACCACCCTCCATGAGTTCTCCAAGATAACAGCCAATGGCTCTGTGGTTACTTCAGCCAATTAATTGCTGGAGCATTCTAGGAGGAATCTTGGGTCCTGCTGATTTGAAAACCTCTACCTTACCTAAGTAATCACTAACTTTCTTTTCTTATTATAGGCTGAGTACTGACCCTCCCTGCACCCCTTTGATGCTAACTGTGCTTGTCATCTGACAATTGACCTTTTTTGTGAAGACTGAAATAAAAAAAGGCATTGAACATGTCAGCCTTCTCCACAGTGTTCATTATTAGCTTCATCTCCACATTCAGTAAGGTATCTACAATATCTTTGGCCCATTTTCTTTCTTTTAACATATTTTTAGAATGCTTTTTTGTTACCTTTTTTGTCTCCTGTTATAGATGTATCTTAATTTGACATTGATGTTTCTAATTTTGTTTCCACATACTTTACTCTTATACTCATCTTTAGTAACATGGCCAGGTTTTCAGTTTTTGTAATATTCTTTTTAAGTTTCATCACTAAAGAACTGGTATAGCCAAGCAGCTGTCTAGTCCAAAAATGATACATTTTTGGTCAGATCTATAAAAAATCCTCAAATGACATTTTTTTTGAGTCGGGAATATCAAAATGCTCCATTTCAGTGGAAATATAATCCAACTTTTTTATTTTCTTTAAAATTTCAGTATTTTAAATGGATGTCCTGAATCAACATTTTAAAAAACCCCAAAACAACAACCTGGAATTGAAATTTTTTTCACTCAGTCAAATTCTGTTCTTTATATAATCCTATAAAAATCATCAATATATTAATCCAAATGAATAAAGCTGGCAGGTTTGGGTCTACCATTTATTTCTCTCCATTCTACACCCCTCAGGTGGAAAATAACATCTTTACTTCCTAAGTTAGGCAAAAGGTAGGACAGGGTAGAGTAGCACCTTAGGATCCCTATACACATGCATTAAGGCTGCTTCGATGTGCTGTAATTATTGTGTTGAAGCAGACTCAATTAATTGAGTCTGTTGGAGCGTGGTAATTACTGTGCTCCAGCAGACTCCAGTATCATGTGTATCAGCGTCCCTGCACTGAAAAATGGCGGTGGGGGCAATTTAACTAAAGCTCATTCAATGAGCACATGTGTCTCTAGCACATGTATAAATGCCCTTATAGACCAACTTGTTCAGAGGCCTGAGCCTTTGTAAGCTACAGCTTATTTCATTTGATTTCATAGATTTCAGATACATTAGGACTGTAGGGAACCTTGTGAGATCATCAGGTCCATCCCCTGCCCAAGGGGTAAGAAGTCAGCTGGGGTCAGATCACCACAGCAAAATAAGCATCAAAGCATTTCTTAAAGGTATCCAGAATAGGTGCTTGCAACACTTTTGTGGTGAGTCTATTCCAGACTCTGGAGGTTTGGATGGTAAGGAGGTTTTTCCTTATGTCCAATCTAAAACAGTCTTCCAGCAGTTTGTGACCTTTAGAATTTGTCTTCCCTTGGAGTGCCTGGGTGAACAGAGATTCTCCCAGTTCATGACGCACATCCCTTATATACTTATGGGCTGCCAGCAAGTCACCCCGGAGCCCTCACTTCTCCAGAGTAAAGAGTCCCATGCCTCTCAGCCTCTCCTCATAAGGCTTGTTCTCTTGACCTCTAATCATGCATGTAGCTTTCCTCTGGACTCTCTTGAGCTTCTCCACATCCTTTTTAATGTGTGGAGCCCAGATTTAGATGCAGTACTCCAGCTGCGGCCTCACCAAGGCTGAGTAAAGCAGGAAAATGATTTCTTGGGTCTTGAGATGGATCAGTAGATGCAAATCAGAGTTTTATTTTCTTTTCCAGCTGTGGCATCACATAGGTGGTTCATGTCCATCTTGTAGTCAATCATGACCCCCCAAGTCTTTTTCATTCATGGTGCTAGTGAGTGTAGCACTGCCAAGCCTATAAGTATGATGTGGGTTTTTTTCTCACTTTGCATTTCTCCATGTTGAATGTCATCAGGTTTTGATCCACCCACCTTGTGAGCCTGTCCAGGTTGTCCTGAATTGCCAGCCTATCCTGTAGTGTGAGAGCATTGCCCCATAATTTGGTGTCATCTGCAAATTTAGCTAGTCCACTTCTGACACTTAAATCAAGATCACTTATGAATATATTAAAGAGTACTACTCTGAGTACTTAGCCCTGGAGAATGCCACTGGTCACCATGCACCATGTTGACTTGGTTCCATTGACTATCAGGCTCTGGGTCTGACCACAGAGCCAGTTCCCCCACCATCAGATCATAAGATTGTTGAGGCCACAGTTCCCCAATTTTACCATGAGGACATCGTGAGAGACCAAGTCAAAGGCTATTTTGAAATCTAAATATATGACAGCCTCTTCTCCCTTGTCCAGGTGATGCATCACCTGGTCATAGAAGGAAATGAGGTTGGTCAGGCAAGGCCTACCCACAATGAAGACATGTTGGCTGTCTCTTGGAATGTTGCCTTCCATTAGCGTGTGGTTGATGGTTTCTTTGATCACTTTTTCCAAGATCTTTCCAGGGACTGAGGTCAAACTTATTGGTTTGTAGTTCCCTGGATCTTCCTTCCTTCCTTTCTTGAAGACAGGCACCACACTGGCCCTCTTCCAATCTTCAGGAACCTCTCCCAAGTGCCACAAGTTCTCAAATTTCCTTGCCATTGGTCTTGCTATGATGTCGGCTAACTCTTTTAGCACTCTTAGGTGCATTCCATCCAAGCCAGCTGACTTGTGGATGTCCAGCCTCTCAAGCTGTTTCCTCACAAGATCTTCACCAATTATAGGCATGTGATCACCCTTACCCTGGTAGTCCTGTGTCTTGTCAGGCAGGGTGGCAGGGTCTCAAGTTGCCCTCCTTGGGTGCCAATCTGTGATGAAGTTTCATATAAGTTTTACTGACATCCCAGTGCACAGGGCTCTGGGACCACACCAGAGTCTCAAACTGGCTCCAGTATCCTAAAGCTGGTCCTGAAACTGATAGTCAGTGCCAGGCCCATACAAGATTCTCACACCAGCTCCAGTGCAGTTCTGGGGCTGAGACTCACAACCAGCTAATGGTTGGTCCTAGCCCCAGGACAGTACCAGTTCAAGCTAAGCTGTGGGCACCCAGCTTTCAATTTACCAGAGCAGGGAGAGCCCAGGATTATGATCCCAGGCTCCCCTTCCATTGGCCAGTAGTACTGGCATGATTACAATGATCTGATTCCCAACTTCAAAATGGTGTGTCCTGCCATACATTTTGTGTCATGGCAGGAGATGTGATTGTTGAGATTTGGGGATCAGATCTCACAGCACCATTAAATGAACATGTTCCAGGGACCTAAGGAGCCACCCTGCCTTCTGCCAACTTCCGAGTTACATGGCTAACTACTTCTCTCTTTAGTTATGTGAATGTAGGTGAAGAATGCTCTATTACCTAGTCTGTGTGTATCTTACTGTGTGTTTACATATTTTAAAAATACTTTATCTTTAAAATATCATGGAGTTTACTTCTGCAAATAAATAACATTATCTTTGCATTTCTCTGCAGGTAGTTCAAATTATTGTTAGTACTGTGAATAAAATTATGTAGTTCCCTAATCAATGAGACATTTTTCAGGTCAACTGCTGTAGCTTTGATTGGTTTTCAACCATAATTCAGTAACAGTGAGGAGAGGGTATATCTAAATACTTCACTAAGAGTAAAAAATGAAATTAAAATGCTTTATGTTGTTAGAAGCTTCAAGTTTTGACATTTATGAACTATTTATGAGGTTTTTTATCACCGTAATGTCTTTGTAAATAGACTACATTATGATATTAATTATATTCTTCCTTACTGAAAGCAAATATATCCTCTCTATAATGTACAAGTGTACCTTAGTGATTCTTATTCCTCTGTCTTTCTCCAATACATAGGGCTTATTTCATGCCATACGAAAGAATATATGATGAATGGGTATAGAGTTTGGAAATGGGAAAGCCTTATCTTGCCTACAATTTTCTGCCAAGGCCCACAGAGAATGGAGACAATATAAGCCCACTTAATTCAAAACATCTCTGAATCAATTACTGTGGCTTCTTGTGCTGGCTACTCAGTTGATGTCAGACAATGGACCTCTGACTTTGGTGGCCCTCTACCAAATCATTCCATCCAAGGATTTTGGCTCCTGGCCCTATTCACCAGTAATGGAATGCAGAGGTTAGACCCAACATCAGATTTGATGGTACAGGATATAACAGATATGGACCTTTTTTTAACTAACTCTCTTTTTTTCAGTTGTGCATGTAACTACAGTTTTACATATAAAATCCTCTTAGGATGTAATAGAGGATCTCTATTAAGAACAAGATTTTATAGATGAGAGTGCCACTTTAAGAAGTCAGGCAGTATGCTGAGTTACTGGCAGGTAGGTTCAGGCCTAATTAGAGAGTCAGCTGACTCAGGAGCCAGCAGGTGAGGCTAGGCCTGATCAAGAGAGTCACCTGATTGACACAGAGACACCTAACTGGAGGAGGGCTGGGTATGAGCCCAAAGCCTGAGAGCAAGGCTGGCAGTAACATCTTGGGAGCTGATGAAGGAACATCACCCAGCAGGAAGGCTGCCACTTCTGACTGCCAGCAAGGAGAGTGATATTTGGATGTTTGGGTAGGAACTAAGGAGATGGAAGAGGTTCCTGGGTGCCCAGTGTGGGGTCCAGAATCCAGAGAAAGGGGCTGAGTGCCTGGGGCCTGCTGAGAGGCCAGATGAGCCCTAGGAAGGAGGCTGTGTGTACAGGGGCCAAGAGAGAGGCCAGGCCAGCCCAGAGAAATGGGTTGTGTGGACAGGGGCCTATTGAGGTGCCAGACAAGCCCTGGAAGAGTGGCTGAGGGTTAGAGGGCCTGTTGAGGATCTAGGAGAGCCCTGATAGAATGGGTCAGATGTGTGAGAGACCTAGGAAAGGGCCTGGATGAACCCAGTGAGTGTGGCAGAGCACAGGAACCTATTGAGGGTTCTGGATGAGCCCCGAGAAGGAAAGGAGGCTGTGGTAAGAAGATCTATTGGGAGCTCTGGGTAAGCCCAGAGACGGAGGGAATGATCTATGGAGGGACCTGAGAAGGTGAACCCACAGAGAGGAGAGGGCTGGCTGCTTGGGGACTGACCCTGGGAACTTCACCTGGTCCAAGCTGGGGCCAAAGCCCAGGAAGGGCCAAAGGGTGAAAGTGCACACCATGAGAGACTGCTGGAACTGTGAGCATGGAGTCTCAACTTGCCTGGAGGGGAGTCAGGGCCTAGGAGAGGCCAAAGGCTCCTGTGGGGGGGAGCACAGCTGA